GAGAGGAGAGGAGAGGAGAGGAGGAAGGAAGGAAGGAAGGAAGGAAGGAAGGAAGGAAGGAAGGAAGGAAGGAAGGAAGGAAGGAAGGAAGGGAAGAAGGTGAGGATGGAAGGAAGGAAGCTGCATGTCTGTTGAAATAGCAAGGCTGTTCTGTTGAGAAAGATGATGCGCTGAGGAACACAGTAATGAGACAGAGCAGTAGTTCCAATACTATTCAACTTTGATTTTGATTATATGATTTTTCCTAGGATTCAGACATCTTCCTTTCTTTAGCTCTGGAAGACAACTCCATGTTTTTATAATAAAGATTCAAATTGGATTTCTGTCACTTGCAAGCAGAGTCTTGGATAATACACTTAAACTGTCGCTCAGAGAAAATTACACTTACAAGGCTATTCTATTCAGTGGAGGGAGTCTATAAATAGATTAGAAAAACAGCAAAGGAAATCATCGATGTTTTGGATTTTGAAGAGACCTTCAAGAGCCAGAGTCTGGAGAGATAAAGTGATTTGGCCAATTACCAACATCAGTTTGCCAAATAGTCTGGTTCTTAATGCTCTTTACTTTTTATTGCGTTGCTCAATTTCTTGTTTCATTTCCTTTCAGTCGGCTTGCTCATTCTTTGGTCCTGTGTCTTTGGCCCACTGTTCTTCTGCTGATTCTCACATACATTTCACATATTCCTTTTCGTTGGCCCTGCATTTCACCATTAGTCTCAGGTTAAATTACTTGCTTAGTGTATCCTGTACTCAGCCATACCCGTTCTCTAACTGCTTTCTCTTCTTTACTGGGTGAAAGTCACCTTAGTGAGCTTCCATGAAGGGAACTTCCAGTCTCCAATAACTGCATTAGTTTGACCTTAGAACTGTGACCACAGAGCAAGATAAGACATGAGAAATATGCTCAATACAGTCAGATGCCAACTAAATATTTATAGGTGTTGTGGCTCTGCTGATAGAAAGAATATGAAAACGACGCAAAAACAGAGTGAAACCTTACATAGATTCATTGAATATCAGCTGACCTGGGTGGATACTGGGAACTCAAAGCAGACTGCAAAGTCAGGTAAAATAATATCTAAATCCAAGGCTTTTGTATAGCAAGGCCACCCACATTTGAAAGGCATGACTTGGAGCCCTTGGACGTCTAGAGGTGGCTTAGCATTGCCAGGAAGGGTCTAATCATGAGAAAAATATCCTGGATATTTTTGTTCTATGTCCCATGGGAAGGGCTGAATTTTATCCCTACAGAATTCATGGCTGAGATCCTATCCCCCAGTCCCTCAGAACATGGCTGTACTTTGAGACAGCTTTTGAAAGAGATAAATTCGATGGGATCATTAGGATGGACTCTAATCCACTGTGGTGTTCTCATAAGAAGAATTTTGCTACGTGGACAGACACCAGAGTTACCTGCACAGAGGAGGCCATGAGAAGAAATAGCAAGAAAGACACCATCTGCAAGAGAGAGGCCTCAGAATAAATCAAACTTGCTGACACCTTGATCTTGGTTCCAGTCTCTGGAAATTTCAGAAAATAAATTTCTGTTGTTTCAGCCACCCAGCCTCTGATATTTTGTTAAGACAGCCCTAGCAAATGAACACCTCCCATAATCCAGCTCAAATCTCCATTCAGTATTTACTAGCAGTAAATTCAGTTCAGAAGCTAATGTAAAAAAATTACTTGTGATGAAATAATTGATTTTTTAAAGTCTTAGACCTTGGGATTAATGATAGGAATAGTCTGTAAATATATTAAGTATTTTAAGTATTTATAAATACCTGTACTTAAAAATATTTAAAATAGTTAAAACACTTATGAAACACTGGCATGTACTCTTCCAATTTAAACTGTGATATTTGAATAATTAATTTAGACATGATTATCAATTAAGCTTTGTAAATTTACAAATCATACTGAAACTTGTAAGAAAACATGAGTCTTTATATTTATACGTTTAAATTATTAAACTTAGAAGAGTTATATAAATATATATGAAGGCTTATTTGCTAGTTAAAATTTTGAAATAATTAGAAAATTGAATTTAATGAAGATGACAAATAAAATTTTAAATGTTAAAGCAATTTACTTAATTAAACTATAAAAGAACTCATAAAATGATAGTAAAAAATTTCATCATCTATAGATAGAACAATAAAATTTATACAAATGCTTAGAATACAAGTAACTAGAGTTTTGAATTTATAAATGGAATAAATCAAAGACATTTTATTTCAAAATAATCTCAGAATTACAGAACTTTCAAGTACAGCAAAAAGACCTTTGTCCCCCTGAAATATTTATAAACAATTTGCTGACTTGATGCCCCTTGACTACCAAATGCTTTAATTTCCCACAATCAAAGACATTGCCTTCCAGCTACAGGACTCATTTATTATTCTAATTTGCTTCTGGTTACAGCATTCACTTAAATTTAGCAAGCCCATTAGGGGGACCTTCTGACAGGTTGGTAGTTAAGTCTTTCTTCTGGAAATGTGGTCGAAAATGACAGATTGCATGTAGAGATCTGTCTGGATAGGGATTCTAGTAGAGTTGTCACCTGGGGGAACCTAAAATACATAAATCATATTGTTAATCAGTCCAGTCCATACAAATGATGGGTATTAAATGAACTTTCTCCTTGCTTCAATGTTATAGCAAACAGAACAAAAAATGCTATGGCCACTGAGACATCTTCATGTTTCCTTTCAGATTCTTTTTCTGGAGAGTAGAGATAATTCCAATCAGAAGCTTTGAGGCCCTGGGCTGTGACATTGCTGAAAATATCTAGGGTCAAAACGGTGTCCAAGACTCATGCTTGTCTAGACTGTACTAAACCCCACGGGTCCCTAACTCTGCAGAATTTCGAATGAAGGACTTTGTAAACACATATGATAACAGGTTAATAAATCTAAAACAATCCTATCCTAATTTCAAGTTTTTCCAATAAAAAATGAACTCAAGTTTGGAATTGATTCAGACTAGTGGAAAGACCTGACTGTAGTGGGTTTAATGAAAAGCTTCTGCTCATTTTAAAAACTATTTGAAGTGCTTTTTCCTCCTGTCAGATTATAATCTGTGAAACAAGATTTGCTCCTTTTACCTTTATTCAAGCAAGATACTCTGATAGTCAGGCTTCTACAGGGCTCTTGTGGGAATGAGTATTCACTAGTGTGGTATTGATAAGAGAGAAGAGAGATTCTGAAAGAGTTGGTAATCTCTACAGTCGCTGAAAATATTATTCGATGCACAAAAGAATGAAGTTACTTGCTCTTTCTTCTTATTGGAAGCGATGATAACACATTTAGATGCGGGACTGGAGGAAAGCTTTGGTCCTGCCTTATCCTCACGGTACGAATGGTGCTAGTGAGGAAATAATATTGGGCCCATCTCTTATTAAGTAGAATCAGCAAAACTACAAAGACTGAAATAGGCAAACAAAAACAGTGGCTATCCTGAGTGATTCACCCAGCCAAGTTTTTTCTGCCTTTCATTATTTTTGTGCTATTTTACAACTCTTTATGATGTGGAAAACTTGATAATAATGCAAAATAGTCTTGTCTAAAAAGATGCAAATTAATTGTACCCAGTAGAATTCAATTAATTATTGCCCTGCATTGAGTCCTACTTTGCATCTGTTTGCAAATTAACTTCAGTTTTTCTTATTCCCTATATATGTTTTTGCTCTTAGTTTCTTACTGGTTTCCTCTGTAAGTAGTAAATTGAATAAAATAGCACATCTATTTCATATCTGTATGAGAGTCCTAATTATAACCTTTTTAAGAAAAATTATCTTGGGAACAATTACCTTGGAAACTACAATGCCCGGTGGATTCACCTAATGGCTGAGGAGCCCATATTGTTGGAGTGCTATACCGGATACGTGACATAAGGTGGGGCATTTCTTGGCTCCAAGAGGTAAATTCTCTGTTGTAACAGAACTTTCACTTTGCTGATCCTCTGTTTCTTTACATATTTTCCATTATACTACGTGTGCGTGTGTGTGTGTGTGTGTGTGTGTGTGTGTGTGTTTTGGGAACTTTTACAATCCATAAATTATTCCCCACTGGTGACAGTAATGATTCAGAATTGGGTTGTGGGGCCAAAATTTTGTGATCTCTGTAAATGGCGTCATAGATTATAGAGATTTATTCTTTCTTGGATGTAAGACAACAGAGAATCTGATTTATTAGAATTTTATTTTCTTTGTCTACTTGTGTATTTTGAGCTCAAATTAAGAACCCAGTGCTCATCAGGAAAGGAAACAAGTTTTTGATATATGCACTGATAATTGTTTGTGTGTTTACTTTTGGCCTGTGGCTAACCTTTAAAATTCCAGGAAAATGAGGAAATCAAAGTTTTAATACTTAATATATGCTATACTTAAAAGGTTACTCTTATAGAAACTCAGAAATGTTTCGGACATTTAAGTTCATGTAGTTAAGGTACATTTTCAGCAAATCAGACTAGTGTAATGATTTTGGTTTGATAAAAACTCTTGTAGTCTGATTTATCAGTGTTGGGTGTAATATAAACATACATTCTATTCTGCTTTTCTTAAATTTCTTCAGGAATACTGATCGAATAAGCTAACATTATTCCTACACAGTATTTAAGATAATGAAAAACGTAAATTTGTATTCAACAAAATCAAATCATTATTGTGATAACTTTATTTCAATGGTAATTAGGTTTTGTTTTTAGCACGTCTGCTAGAAAACAGTTTTCAAGATCTTTTTTTTTTTTTATAATTTTATTTTATTTTATTTTTTTGTTTTTGTTTTATTTTATTTCTAGGAGAGAGAGAGAGAGAGAGAGAG